GCGCACTATCCGTGCTGAGTGTGCTGACTTTTCCCACAATGTCCCACTGTCTGGCTACCTGCATAAAGTCAAGTGCTCGGCGCAGTTGTAGGCGAAATGTCGCTCCTCTGTTTTCATTTAAACAGCTCCTTATATCCGTTAGCGCAGCTAGCTAGCACCAGATGCTAACAACAACAATAATACGTAAGGTCTCTCTCTCTCTCTCGCGCCACACATACACACACCCTCCCGGTCCTCCCGATGGCCAGTCGGTGCCTGTCGGTGAGCGTGGAAGTGTGGTCTGCCGCAAGCTGACGGCAGGAGCGTGGCTGTCAGCATCAGCTTGTAGATGGTATTTTAAACTCGATGCGCTCTGAAACTACGGGGCGGCCGAGGACAAAAAATACACAACTTTCTATCGCACAGGGTTCATGTTTCAAAATCATCTGAACTAAAAAAGCCCAGGCGAACAAAACGTGAAAAAAGGGCGTTAAAATCTACTTTCAGCTGCAGCTTTGCAATGTAAAGAAATGAAGGTACAGTTGCTTTAAAGGGGCCCTATCACACTCGTTTTCAGGTTCATACTTGTATATAGAAGCAGGAATATTACATGGTGATGTCACTATGCTTACCTTAGCGTTACTGATATTATTCGACAGGTCGCTTATATTTTTCTGCGTCTCCTTTGTGAGCTTTTCCACCTCCTTACTCTTCCTCTCCAGCAGCATCTGTGAAGAGCAAACCAGTAATAAGGACACAATCATTTATCCAGGTTAACTAATACACAACTTTATCCTGTTTTAAATGGTCTTCTCTGGGCTTTTTAATGACTGAAATGTGATATTATAATGCGTTTATCTTGCCTTTAACACTTGTTGTTGTACTTTATAAGTAAACGTTCCTTTCTGAACAAAACGTGGTAGAATGGAGAAATCCCATTGGACCAGAGGGATGCTGCCTTCAGGGTCCAACACAGAAATACGTCATCCCTGCACCAGAATATTCTTGGGTAGTTTCCTTTCCCTTAAAAACTAATATCACTTTATTGCAAGGCTTTTCCTTTGTTATGTACTGCAATATGTTAACACTCAATTTCACTAACCACTACAAAAACTCAAAATCTTGCCAAGTATATTTGTCTAATAACTAGTCAGAATATTTATTTACACCTGATATAACACCTAATAACTTAAGTAGTAACAATGCACTGAGATATAGGGTCTTGTTTTTAGACAATGCATCTTATATATATCTTGTTCGGACTCTTATTTTTGTTGTATCTCAGATGAAACACTTTTTTTTAACATTTATATATGAAAATGACCAACTAACGTCAGAAAACAGATCATTTTGAGCATTTCTGGCTTATTTAGTAACACTAAATGTCCTGATTCTGGTCAAATATAGTTCAAAAATAACTTTTCCCGTCTAATAACAAGATCTGATTTACCTCTGTTATTTCAAGACATCTAACCAAGAAAAATGTCACCTCTATTGGCAGATTTTTGTACTTATTAGAAGCGAAAACTTGTATTTTTTCAATTGTTTTCAAGCAGAATTTCTTCCAGTGTGTTCCCACAATTTCCCCAGAACGTTTAGCTTTGTTCCAGGCCTCAGAAATGTGATTTAGAGAAACCATGAACTCAGTAATAACTTATTAACATTGCAGTGAGATATAGGGTCTTGATTCAGAAAATGTATCTTAAGTATCTTGTTAAGACTCTTGGAAACATCTTATTTTGAGTTGTATCTTAGATGAAACATGTTTTTTAACATTTTTATTGGAAAATCAACAACTGACGTCAGGATACTGAATTTTTTTTACAATTTGTGGCTTATTTAGTAACACAACATTTCCAAAATAGTGGTCAAAAATAGTTAAAAAATAACTTTTCCCGGCTAATTACAAGATCTGATTTACCTCTGTTATTTCAAAAATTCTTACCAGGTATTTATACTTTTATATTAGCAGATTTTTGCACTTATTAGAAGCAAAAACACCTTTTTTGGAGCAGCATTTTTCCCAGTGTATTCCCAAGATGTTCCCAGAACGTTTAGCTTTGTTCCAGGCCTTGGGAAATCAGATTTAGAGAAACTTTGAACAGAAATCCCTTCTTTAGGAAACTAACTTTACCTCTTGACTTTCCCTCTCTGTCTCCAGCATCACCATCTTGTGTTGGGCACACTCGGAGATGGCGCACACGCAGCACACGGACATCTTGTCCTGGCGGCAGTAATAAACCATAGGCTTTTTATGTCGGTCGCACAGCGGCATGGCTCTCCCCCCGTCTCCCCCCCTCACCAGCACCTCCCTGCTGGAGGAGGAGGAGGTGTTTGCTGCCTCCGTTAACTCCGACATGGAGACGTTTCTCTTCAGGTCGGGACGGACGGGGAACTCCTGCTGGCAAAGCGGACACTGAGGCCCGATTTCTGCTTTGCTCTTGGTGTCCCAGAGCTTGGTGATGCACTCCTGGCAGAAGGTGTGTCCGCAGGGGATGGTGACGGGGATCCGGAAACGCTCAAAACAAATGATGCAGGTGAGGTTTGAGTCCTGAGGATCCATCTCTGAGACAGCTGACATCTCTGCGGACGACAAGAACACAGGGAGACGTTGGTCGTGATGATGGTGTCTGCTCCAGAGCTTAATAACTCCCACTGGACATTTTACATTCATATTCTATTTAATAATCCTTTCTTGCACAATAATATCCTGCATTATATTTGTTACTGGACATTTGTATTTCCACATGTATATGTATTTTATTACTTTTTAAATGCTATTTTATTTCTATTTCATATATCAAACATTTTCCCAAATTGGGATCAATAAAGTATGTATGTATGTATGTATGTATGTATGTATGTATGTATCTATCTATCCATTAGCGGTAGAAGAATATATATTTTCATCGATGTGAAGCAAAGATTTGTTGCAGACATTGGTACATTTTGCCAGATCTGAAAGAAGTATTCAGATAATTATCTTGAGTAAAAGTACCAATACATTATTGTCAAAATACTTCATTACATGTAAAAGTCCTGCATTCAAACTCTTACTTAGGTAAAAGGTATCACCAGCAAAATGTACTTAAAGTATAAAAAGTAAAATATATATTTCTCTAACTTTTGATGGACTTTTTGTAAATCATTTAAACAATTGGACTCTTTTGTGACTTAAAGAGTTGGTCCACTAGTTTAATTTTTAGAGATGCATTTTGTTAAACCACTGATCATATATTGGGATTATATCACTTTATTCATTTGTAGACTTTTTTTTTTAAGTGTTGGCAAGAAAACAACAACTTTCAAAACATGATTAAACTTTAATTTGGCATTCTTGTTGAGGAGACATGCTTATCTATAAATCAGGCATTCAACCAAGAACACTTGTGCCTTTTTCCATCCAAATCCAAAGAAGACAGTATATAAATATCCACATATCGATATCGAGCACTAATATCAGTGTTTATATCTGAAACCACCATGACAGTAACTGCTTAACATCTCTGTAATTAAGGGGTTAGCAATATCCCATATTCAGCCCTTAACATAGACGAAAACTCCCCAAAAACGCATAAAAAACACAATTCATTGCTTTTTAGATCGAAACCACGGGTAAAAACCAAAACAAACCCAGAAGCTAACGTTAGCTAGCTTAGCATTAGCCACAATTCACGTAAGTAGACGTCAGAAAGGACGTTGAGACACAACACTCATAATATTAAAACAGTCTAGGGATGAAACTGTATATTACCGCACATTTGTACACTCATTCATTGATAGATAAAGCAAAATAAAAGGTTATTTCCTACCACTTCTTTACATTGGTGCTCCGCATCTGTGAGAATCTGAAGGAACGTCTAGTTCCTGATGACGCATTACGTAAAACTGACGCCATCACGTACTGACGATCTTCTTTTTTTTTTTAAAATATGAATTAAAAATCGCTTTTTTATAAGAATGTTTTATCATCAAACTCTTTAAAACGTTATTTATTAAATTTGTGTGGTATTTGGGTTATTTGTTTATTATTTATTTATCGTTTTGCTCCTCTCGGACACCGTACTTCGGGAAAAAAAAGCGAAAGAACTCATTCCAACATGGCGCTACGCACAGCCCTGAGAACTGGAGCAGATTTAGGGGTCAATAATGCAAGGACATTTATCACTACAGGTAATTTAACTCCTATTTCTGAATGATATCATGTTTACATTGAAGTACATCCTAATAGTATTGCGTGTTTTTCTTGTTTCATCAGTTTAAAGCAGATCCGTGTCGGTGGAGAAACACATGTCACCAAACTCCTTAGAAAACAGTGGCAATTACACTTTAAAATGAGTTGTGCATTGGTGTTAAAAGGGTGTTAATGTAAAGTGGTAGTGTCAGCCCCTAAAGCGTTATCTATCCTATACATCGGCTTCAACAAATACATATATAGTCTACTGCAGAGTTTCAAAGCATCTAATATGTTTACTCAAGTCCTATATTTTAATAATGTGAGGTACTTTTACTAAAATTGAATATGTTCACTTTATGTACATTTATATTGTTCCTATACTACATTTTGGAGGCAGATATTGTACTCTTTAATGTGTGTCTGGTTACATCCGTTTGCTTTCTTGTTATGTTTAAGACGTCTCGCCAAACTCCATAGCAAACAGTGACAATTGAAATGTAAATGTAGGTGTGCATTGGTGAAAAAGGGGTATTCATGTAAAATAGTAGTGTCAGCACTGACAGGGTTATCCATCTCATATCGGCTGCTATTTACAATACATTGCATGGTTGAAATTAACGAAGTACGAGCACTCAAGTTATTTACATAATAAACACAAGAACAGAGGTGGGACTAACTAACTAAGTACATTTACGCAAGTATTGTACTTAAGAACAATTTTGAGGTACTAGTACTATATTATTTCCATTTCATACTACGTTGTACTTTTCCTCCACTACATGTATTTAATACCTTTAGTTACTTCACAGATGTGGATGAATGATGTGAAATCTAATCAAGTGTTAAATCAGACTCTAGTTCCACCTGGAGTAAATCCACAAGCTACCCTGCAGTATACAAAGTCATTCAGACTAGCTGCACCTTTACCAGCTTTGAGAACACTTTCATGATCAATCATTATAAAACATATCATATCTATTATTCTGAAATGGACCAATCTGCACAATGACTACTTTTACTGTCGCTACTTTCACTAGATTTTGATGAGAATACTTTTCTACTTTCACTTGAGGAACATTTTGAATGCAGGACTTTTACTGTAACAGAGTATTCCTACACTCTGGTACTTCTACTTTTACTCAAGTACAAGATCTGAGTACTTCTACTTTTACTCAAGTACAAGATCTGAGTACTTCTACTTTTACTCAAGATACAAGATCTGAGTACTTCTACTTTTACTCAAGAACAAGATCTGAGTACTTCTACTTTTACTGAAGTACAAGATCTGAGTACTTCTACTTTTACTCAAGTACAAGATCTGAGTACTTCTACTTTTACTCAAGTACAAGATCTGAGTACTTCTACTTTTACTCAATACAAGATCTGAGTACTT